CCCCCTTTCAGCCGACGTGTGGCCCTTCACTGCCGGCGATCCATACGAGGAACGCACCAGACGGTTCAACGAGATACGCCGAGCTGAAATGCTCGAAAGAATAGAGCAAGAAAGGAACAGGTGCGTCAGTCAGCCATTGCAACCATTCACTCATGTCTCCCTCCCTTGGTCTGTCCACCCATCAGGCCCTCTCTTCACGAGCTGGCCATATCAGGTGGGGCGGCCACAGCCCGCCTTCCTCGCGAGCCGCAGCGGCCTGAGGCGGTGTCTGACGAGCCTCTGACTGCGCGGCCCGCCCCACCATCGGTGCCGCCACTGCCGATAAAGGAGCAGACGGCAGATAGGCGCGGGAGTGTGTCGAGCGAGCTGATGGCAAGAGTGGTGCCGCAAGTGTCGTCGGCCAGACCGGTAGCGGGATACACATGCAGGGGGACAGAGGGAGACATGACGAGAGTGAAGTGATGTCTGTTTCTTTCATATGACGCATCCAGACATTTCAGACGTCGACAAATGACCACTACCGTGCCATCCACGGCGGCAAACACGACCCCATGGTGGTATGCAATCAATCCATGGCCGGTCCCTGACACACAACACAGGGAAAGAATTGCATCCATATCCATCCATGGATTATAACTCACACATCTGCAGGGCGTTAACTTGCGGAAGAGTGTGCGTCGTGCGACCAAGGAGATACAGAGAGGGCTCAAAGACATGGCGCAGCAAGAGGAAAGATGCAAGGTGAATCATCACGGATACCATACAAGTTGATTGAACGACCTCTGTGCACTGCACGTGTTTTCACAGCTCTTCGCCACGCAAGCTGCTGAGCGCGCTGAGCAGCAAGCAGCCATGGAGAGGGCCGCCAGGTGACCACACACACACACACGCACACACACACACTCACATGGCTGCTGGAAGAAGGAGGAGGAAGAAGAGGAGGAGGAGGAGAATTGTGTGTGCGATCCGTAGGCATGAGCACGTGGAGTACTTGCGTCAGCAGATGAAGGAAAAGGTGGGAGCTGGTATCTGTATTCTATTTTCCTTCATGTGCCCGTATGCGTGTTCGTATGTGTGTGAAGGAGGAGAGGAAGCGACGGGAACAGCTGCAGCTCAAGATGGAGGAAGCACGTAACACACGACGACACAGACAGATATTCACGGCCATAAGGATCTGTTCCTACCCATCTGCTTTCTGCTTCGTGTCCCTCTGTGTGTTTGTGTCCCGGTGTGTGTCCTTCACACAGCGTACTATGGCCCCGAGGAGCGTCCCAAGACCAAGACGAGGGACGACTACGTCAGATACAACAAAGAACTTGAACACGAAATACAGGTGGGTGCATACCTACACACACACCCAGCCCGCCTTGCTGTCTGTCATTCATGTCTCCCTCCCTCCCTCCGTCCCCGCTCGTGTGTGAGTGTCTGCAGAGTCACGAGCGCACACGTGAGGAGGCCAAGACAAAGCGCATCCGTGAGGAGCAGGAGGCGAGTCTGCATCAGGCCCAGCAGTTCCTCAAGGCCAAGGCTGAGGCGGAGGCCATCGAGCTCAAGAAGAGGGAGGAGCTCTTCAAGCAGTGGCAGAGACAGGCGCACATCAAGCAGAGGGCCAAGGAGATGGAGAGATACAGATGAAGGCCGAGTGCTGGATCGGATGGTGGGGTGCAGTGCAGGAAGGAGATGGTTTCGTGTGTGTCTTTGAGTGTGTCTGTTTCCATTTATCTATCGGGTGGATTGAAGCATGAAGCACGAGTAGGTGCGGAGATGCTGGCTGCGTGGATGTACGCCAGCTGTGTTGGTGTAGTGACACGACCCTTGCTTTATATATGTACGCACCATACATATCACGTACACGTAAGTGCATTTGGTGTCTCAGAGTCGGTCGGCCGTGCAGCAGCGTCTGCGGCGCCCGAGAGGGATCAGCAACAAACCAACGCACACATGAAAGGTGAGTGCTGTCGTTGCCAATGTTATGCTGCGACCCTCGACTGAATCGCCTCAGAGAGTCACATACCTTATTATACACACACCTGCTGTATACACGCCTGAGATAGCAGGCAACACAAGGGAGTCGGTAAAGGGAACATAGTTTTCGTGTTGCCAGGGCCAAGGATGAGCAGTGACTTTTCGGGCCAGTGGTGTGGGCAGCACCAACACACCCACACCCGCATAAGCCGCTGGACGCAATTGGCTGGACGGGCCACTAGAGAGGGGCAGCATATAGTTAGTGGAGGGTGAGACGGGAGGAGATGGGCAGCGGAGGCGGCCAGATAGGCTTGTGTGTGGAGACGACTGACTAACTGACTGTATGTTGGAGTGTGTGGGATTCAATTAACTGACGTGTTGATGGGATGGCTGTGCTGCAGTGCACTCACATGGGGCGGCATGACGTTATTTGGGTGTGTGGGTGTAATGTCATTACATACAGCTCAGCTGCCATGGGTAGTGTACACATTCACATTGAGAAGTCCGCCAGTCAGTCAGTCAGTCCGCCCTCTCCCCCTCCCCCTCCATCCTTATCACTCTGTCCACCGGACGAATCTCCGAAGGCTCTTCTCATCCACAGTTGATGCTGACGGCAGGAGGGGCGTGTCTCTGTGTCTTCACCGCCGTCAGAATATAAAATGTAGTCAGCGATGGATAAAGACTCAACTCCTGTCCACCGCTGCCCACCACCACACCCACTCGACTGGCTGCGATTTATCAATCTCTGCAGCCATCTGCTCTCCAAGCGGCCGAACAGCTGTGCATCTACCATCTACTGGTCTACGGGCCCATCCACCCCGCCCACCGACAGACACATCAGGCACTTGTGGGGGGATGCGGGGCGTGCCGGGTGGTTGCTCTTGATCTTCAAGTTTCTTCAAGTTGTCGAAGTAGACCGTCACAAGGGCGGCGTAGTAGTAGTGCTCCGATGACTCCTCGGAGCGGCCTGCGGCCTTCTCCCTCTCCCAGAGAGCGTACGCCCCCAACAACACCCTGCACACACACACAGGAGAGACACACACAAAAACACAGACACACATGGATGTGGGGGTGTCTCGTGTGTTTGTAGGCCAGTGAAAGACTGACTGCCGCCCCCTTACATCGAGTCGAAGCTCTCGCGGCTGGGGCCCGCCTCGATGATGAGGCTGCCCTCCTCCGCAGGGACGCTCCGCTCGTAGTGCTGCTGGGGCGACTCGTGACGGCCCTCCGGCGACAGGGAACGCTCAAACGCAGCCTTCTTGACGCTGCATGACAAGGCAGACAGACAGACAGACAGGGGAGACACACACACATCCATAGAAGGTGTTTTTGATGGTGTGTCAGTGAGGTGTGCGTGTTGGCTTACTAGGCGTTGAAGGCGTCCTTGGGGGACGGGAAGCACTCGTCGGGGTGGTGCTTGTAGCCGGAGGGGGCTGACTCTGTCTCCCACACGTCGCTCTCACTATCCTCACTGCTATCCTCACTCTCCCAACCCTCCGACACTCCGCTGTCGCTATCCTCACTCTCCCAACCCTCCGACACGTCGCTGTCGCTCTCCTCACTGCTAAACTCACTCTCCTCACTCTCTGGCACTTCGCTGTCACTCTCCTCACTCTCCCAACCCTCCGACATGTCGCTCTCACTATCCTCGTTCTCCCTTCACCCCTTGCCTCTGTGCTCACCAACCCTGACTACGGCCTCCCGACCCTCGTCACGGCCCTCGTTGGCAGGCTGGCTGTCCTGCACGGTGGGCGCGACGGGTCCGGCGGTGGCACTGCTGCCCTCGCTCGCTGTGGCAGGCGGGCGGTTGTTGGGGGGTGGGAGTTGTGTGTGGGTGGGTTGTTGGCCTCCTCTGCCGGGGCTGTCGGGTGGGGGCGGCTGGTTGGGCTGCTGGTTGGGGCTGTCGGGTGTGTTGGCGGCCTGGCTACCTCTCAGAAAGGCCTCAAGGAAAGGCGAAGTGAGGGTGGTCATGACCTGAGTCGTGCCCTGGGTGTTGGCGTTGGTGCCGTCGGTGTTGGCGTTGGTGCCGTCGGCCGACGTGCTATCATTCTCTGCATCCATCAATCCATCAATCAGGCCACACACGCCATATCAACACAACACCATGGCATACATATGACCCGTGACCAACTGAGACAGCAAGTAGTGTGTGGCTGGCTGACTTACCGTAGTCCAGTCCGAAGAGGGTGTGGGCGGCAAAGTCCGTGTGCGTTGGTATCAGACGCGTGATGCCGTTGCCGACCCTGTCGGCCAGGTCGAGTATCGGGGCTATGGACTGCATTGTGGCCAACCAGCTGACGATTTATCAATCTCGCTTGTCAGCGGTGGCCTCTCCTCCTTGGTCGTCTCCTTGGCGTCAGTCACTCGCTGCACTGCCGACTTATCTCTTGGCGGCGGGCAGGCAGGCTGTTTCGTTGCGAAACGGTGCTCACAGACGTGTTGGTATCGTGTGCACGGCTGTGTGGGCTGGACGGCGGTGGACAGAGAGCGGTCTTGGCGGCGGTGGCGAGGGCGGAGGAAAAGCGAAAGCGTACAGCTTCTTTTTTGCCGTCTCCGTCTCAAATTGTCGTCAGAATGGAAATTTACTTCCTGGCAAGCAGCCTCGCTTGCAGCCCTTGACGTCCGCGTGTGCACAATCAGTGTGCGCAGGTGGAAGCCACATGTATCGGACATCGACCTGCCCGGCCTCATGTTGTCGGTAGACGCCACGCGACATCTGAATGACTAAGGGAGAGAGACGCTCCCGGCTTTGCTGTGCGCGAAGGCCGCGAGGGAGAAGGCCATCGTGGTGGTGGGGTGGGAGAAACAGCAATAAGGTCCACTGACTGACGAAAGGCTTACTGGCGATGGATGGATGTTGATCTGCTGACCAATGGTATGTATGTCACATGTAATGACCGACATGAACATCTTCGTTGATGGGCAAAGTGACAAAGTCATGCAGCAACATCCATCCACACATCCACGCCATGCCATGCGGTGATTGATCTCGATGCATCCGGTCCACACGTACGTACATTACATACACGCACACGTCAAGCCTCTGCCTGCCTCTGCGCTCTACCACATATATACCTCTACAAGCTTGTAAGTAGGGGCACGTCATCCATCCCTCCAACCAACCATCGATCTGCACACTGGCTCGACCGACTACGGATCATCCTGACTGACGTCAGTCATTGCATGGGCAATGTCCAGCACACTCACACACCGGCCAGCCATCCGAGAGTCGTGGACAGTCGTGATCGACTCATCTATCCATAAAAGCCATTCGCATAACACAACACGTGACAGAGAAACGATTGAGCCACACACACACACACACACACAAACACTCGCCGACTACGGTGAGGACCAGCTGAGGCGCGAGAAGAACTCCGATTTGGGTTCACCGCCTCGCTCTGACAGCACCAGACCGCACCACATGGACGGACAACACGAACAAGTGTCGATCAAGTATGCCGTTAGATACCTGCACTTCGCTCTCCACTCACACATGGATGGATGTGTCTGCGTACCTCTGCAGGTGTGTCTCATAGGCCGTCTATGCGCGACAGACTGCTCGCCACGGCCGACAACTCACACTGCAGACACAGACATGGACCATCACAGTGGAGCAGCGAAGTGGATGAGATGTCGTGTGTCCACCCAGCCATCCATCGATCCCCGCTCACTGACTGGTACAGTACATCCGGTCGGCTGTGCAGCAGTCTCTCTCTCCGTGCGCGACTGACTCATCAGCCGACAGCTGCACGAACAACACAGGCAGACATGGAGAGTGAGCGACGCGGCCTTCCTGCGTGGTGTCAGCGCCATTTCGTTACCTTCGACTGAATCGTCTCAAACAGCGTTGCTATGCGATGGAACTCATCTCGAAACTCACCAACGCCGTCATCAGCACTCACCTGCACGAAACAACACAGAAGGGAGATCTTCGTTGCGTGTGTGTGAAGTGTGTGGTGTGTCGAATCATCGAATGAAGGATGGCTGCCCATCAGTGCCGCTGCTAGGCACTAGTAGGCAGGGCAGACCCGCCACCATCGCCCTCACCTACACCCGAACACACGCGCGTAGAGCCACCACATCGGGTGTATTTTGTCGCATGTACCTTCTTCCATGAGTGTGGTGCGGCTCTCTTATTCTTCACAGACACCAGGCAGCCCTCCCATCACCACTCGTATCGCACCGAATACGTCGAATGGATGGATGGATGGAAATCCGTTGCTTCGAATTGTCTGCCCGCTCCTTTCGTCACCTTCTGCGTAATTACACCATCGACAAGCCTTTCCGGGGGGATGCAATCCCCACCGATCGCGAGGTGCGAGCTCGAACAATAGGGCTCGAAGGAGGTGCTCTTTTTTTCCGTGTTCGTAAGGCGCTGTAGAGGTAGGCACACACCGAGAGAATCATCGTGCATCGGATATATATGACTGGCTTTTGTGTCTTTCAGGCCGGTTTCTGCAGTAGGTATGGCAGCTGAGCCATCCCCGTCGCCTTCCGATGACGTTGCCGCTCAAGTAGATGCCCTTCTCGCCTCAACTGACGGAGAGGCCTTCGAAAAGCATCTCCTCAGTCTCCACCTCACCGCCGTGGGCGACGGTGGGAAGACGAGAACCCTTCGCGACGTCCGTCACATCCGCCACTCAGTCATCCGCCAATTCATCCGTCAGCGGCGCAGCAGCCCCGCTCTTCTGGCGCGACTGCTGTGGGCCTCCCTGGCCAAGCCCGCAGCGCCGCCCGAGTGCACAGACATTGCGCTCATCGTCGCGTCAGCTCTTGCAAATGCCGATTCCCGAGCTGACCTTCAGACAGCGGGATCGGTGACCAGGAGCTGGGACTTCATCCAGGAGCTGATAGCGCAGGCGGGATCGCCGCAGGGACTGCTGACCACTCTGCTTGGTCTGTTGGTGGCAGCTGATCGGCAGGGCCGTCGCGGGCCCGTCAGCACGATCTCCCTGATCCTGTTTACCGCACTGGAATACGGCAAGGCCACCGGCAACACGCAAGACTTCCACCAGCACCTGGTGGGCAACCACATGGACCACTTGGGCGTAGTCGAAAAAGCAGCTGCACGCGGGTCGGTCAGACAGTCAGGCTCGAGCTGACAGAGCGAATTTGGTGGACATATATGACTTCTTGATTGTCTTGCCTGCCTGGCTGCCTCAGTGCTGGCGACCCCGCCGCTCCTGAGGAGATATATGTGCTGGTGGAGCCGTTTATCGACGCTCTGCTGTTCATCGACGCTCTGCTGGATGGCGTCGAGCCATCGGCGGCTCTGGTGTCCCTGCGGCTGTCGTCGTTTCACAGCATGATGGCGATACCAGCCAGGGAGCACGTCCGGGGCTTCCATGCCTTCCACCAGCGGCGGGAAATCATACAGAAATACCTATCGGACGTGCTCGGAAAAGGTAGGAGAGGGTCATCTGGTCAGGCGCTTAACAATGCCCGACTGCCTGTCTGTCTGTCTGTGTGTGTGTCTGACGGTGTCTATGTGGCTGTGCGATTCGTCCGTGCTGTGCGGGGCCGATGCCTGAGGTCATTACTGCGGTGGTGGGAGCGCTGGACAAGCACTGCTTGGTCTACACCGGTCAGCTGGTGGGTGTCATCCTTTCCAGCACTGCGACGCCTGCTGATATTTGGGTATCGTGTCTAAAGCTGGGCTGCATCAGCAGGGTTTTCCTGCAGGTCTGCGACCTGAGGCACATCGCAGGTTCGCTTGCACGGTGGCCATCAATTGACATGCACACAGCATGTGTGGGTGTATATGTCAATTGCTGTCTGTCTTTAGGTGGGTCGTGCACTGGTGCCGCAGCGTGTCGATCCTTCATGCAGATCATGAGCCGTCCTGACGTCCTCCGGAGTGTGGCGGGTGTTCTCATCGACAGACCTCCAATGCCTTTGCCCTTTGGCAACGATACATCCGCTTGTGTGGCGGCCACGGATGAGATCAACATTGTTCTCAACACTCCACTGCTGTGCCTTCGAAGAGGGCAGACAGACAGTAGGCACACAGACAACAGAAGAATGGGTGCAGAGAGGTGTATGCTGTGTTGCCTGCCTGCCTGCCTGTATACCTGCTTACAGGATGCCTGCTTACAGGGGGGATTCAGCCGCTGATTGAGTCGGGGCTCCCGAGGACATGCGTCAAGCTCATTGACGACGAAATGCTCACGCGAGGGCCTCGCTGGGGGCAGACGCTTGACGCCCTTGTTATCCTCATGAAACTCATGACAGAATTCTCTCCCAGGGTGTGTGTGTGTGGGGGGGGGGGGGGGGCCCAAAA